GCATGCATTTCTATATATATATGTATATATGTATGTGTGCGTTTGCACATATTTCGCTCAGGATAAATGTTTAATTTTTTTTTATGATATTTACCATGTGCATTAACCTATTTTCACATTGTTTAACGCAACAGTTTTTGCGGTTAATTAAACATTGCGGTCGCTTATTTTTGTGTAAACAAAAGATAAAAACAAAACAAACAAGTTCCGTTAATCAATAAATTTATGTTTCGTGCATTTATTTGGATATTGATAAGAAAAAACGAACTCAAGACGCGTTTTCTTAGCGCAGAAGTGTGTAAATAGTGTGTTAAAGTGTATTTTTATTCGTTTTACTTATGATATTTTTCATTTGTACAGGATGCAATTGAAACAGTTTTATTTCAAATTTAACAACTTTTTTTTTGGATGTGGCAACACTCTCACTCTTAGTTTGGGCTTTAACATGCGCTTTGCTGTTAAGGTACAGCAAGCTGTTAGCTAACATGCGCCACTGTTAGTTCACAGACAGCCATCAAACGCGTCGCAAGTCTAATGCGAGATTAAAGTACAATTTGAGCTCAGACGAGCAACAAGTGCAGCCAAATCGATCAATCAATGCATCAATATTATCAGCAAACTAAATACTTTAACATTTGTGTGAAAAAGCCGCAGAACTAAAGCAAAAATGCAGCAACGCCGGCAAACGAACAGCCGCAAAATGATTTCTCGGCTGTTGTCGCTGTTGTTGCCGCTGCTGCTGTTAGTCAACTGCTGTGGTGAGTAATTTGCCAAGAATTTTATTATTTAATATCTGTTCAGGCGAAGCACGTAGCAAGCTGGAGTTGAATGAACTTGTTGCCATAATGCACGCACACGCACGCACGCACGCACGCATGGAATAACAGCACACACACACACACACATACACACGTTATTTGTAACAGCTGATTTGGCAGCCGGAGCGACTTGTTGATAACCTCTTGAGCTCAGCTCACACACATTGACAGCTTATGCCGCTATGCGAAAGTTCTTCCAAGTTGCTAATGACGTGTTCTATCTTTCCCTCTCTCTCTCTCCCTCTCTTTCTCGTTCTGTTAAGCAGCCGCTGCGGGCGCCTCTTTAATACCCGCGGGCTCGCAGCAGCTCTTTGCGCTGCGGAGCAAGGTGAGCCTGGAGCCGCTCGCGGGCAGCAAACCAGAGGATGTCAGCTACAGCTTTGAGACGCAGCTGAAGATAAACTCCGTGTGGAGCAAAGATGAGGAGCAGCTGCTGGAAATCGAGCTGAGCAAAAGCCGCGTCAGCGCAACAGCCCAGCAGAAGGAGCGCGAGATTGACAGCCTGCCGGACAGACCCTTCTACGTGGCCCTGGTGCAGGGTCAGCCGCAACAGGTGATTGCGCACACGTCCCGTGATCAGTCGCTGCTGAATCTGGAGCGCGGCATCGCCTCGCTGCTGCAGCTGCGCCTCGCCAGCAGCGACGGCGCCGAGAACGAGCTGGACGTGTCCGGGCATTGCCGGGTGCGCTACCATGTGAAGAGTTCGACGCGCGTGGAGAAGACCAAAACGGACTGTGCGCTGTGGGATTTGCGTGTCAGCTATCATCCGGAGCAGGCGCTGGGCGTGTCGAAGCAGTCGCAGGAGCAGGTGGACTACGAGCTGAGCGCAGACGGCGCACTGCTGCGCGCCGAGTCCACGGAGACGCACCGCCTGACGCTGACGGCAAAGCCGGATGTGGGCAGTGTGGTGCGCGGCCGCCTGCGACTGCAGCATGTGGCGCAGGGCGGGCAGGAGCAGGTGCCTCAGCTGCAGCAGCCCACGCTGGCTGCGGCCATTGAAAGCTTGTTGGAATGGTATCGTGTGTTCGAGCTGGAGGCGGATGTGGACGGCGTCATTAGCGAGCTGCAGGAGCAAACGGTAGGCATATTCTTTGCTGGCTTTCAATCCATTTAATCCATTCTCTCGCCCACGAACAGCTGCAGGCGCAATTCGAGCGCAGCGTCAAGGATTTGCAAGCGGAGCACGTGGGCAAATCCTCGCTAGCGCTGACCTTTGCCCAGCTGCTGCCCTTGGCGCGCATCGCCAAGCAGCCGCAGTTCGAGGCGCTGCTGCAGTCGCATCCCAGGCTGGCCGGCCAGCTGGTGGATCTGCTGGGCGCCGTGCAGACCTATGATGCGCACAATGCCAGCTTTGCGCATTTCTATAAAGGATCAGACACCACGGCGCAGTCGCTGGAGCTGCTGGAGAAGTATCTGCAAGCGCTGGCCGTCGGCACGCACCCGGAACGCCGCATTCTGGAGCAGCTGTTCGACTTTCTGCAGCAGCCGCCGGCGCACAAGTCGCACGCCAAGCTGCGAGACAGCGTGCTCCAAACGCTCGCCACGCTCACGCGCCAGAGCGGCCTCGATGCCAACGATCAGCTGTTGCAGCAGATACGCGTCCATTTGCTGGAGGGCCTCGCCTCCGCGCCGGAGCCCGTCATGTACGCACGCGCCCTGCAGAATCTGCGCGATCCGCAGACCATTGACGCACTGCTTCAGCAGGCGACGCAGTCGCCCCAGCCCCAGCTTGCGGTGGCCGCCTTGCAGGCACTCAAAGCCTATCCGGCTCTCAGCTATGCGGAGCCGCATCGCCGCCAGTTCGAGAGCATTTTCTATCAGCGCCAGCGGCGCTTTGACAGCTCCGCGCGCACCCTGGCCCTGGACCTGCTGCTGGCCATGCGTCCCAGCGCCGAGCAGCTGGGCCAACTGCTCGACTATTTGGCCTCCAACGATCGCCAGTTTGAGATTAAAACTTATGTGCTGCAAAAGCTGCGCATGCTCGCCGAGATTTGTCCACGCTTCCGCGCCATGTTCCAGGCGGCACTCGGCCAGCGAGCCCACGTCAACAACTACCACGTGCTGGGACAGCGGGGTAATTATCGATGTTAATTTTATGAAACCACTTTTAATACATATATACCTGATAATAACCTAGCTAGACATAGATCGCACTTTCCCAGCCCCTTAACTCGACGTACCACGGGAAGGGCCGGCATATACTCGTTATTGATTTGCTTCTCATTGAAGCAGTGAGTCGATCAATCACTCAGTCATTTAGTCATTTAGTGAATTAAACAACAAGTTGAATCAATCAGTCTGTAAATTATGCAGTACATCAACTGAGGCTCTCAGTCAATCAAGCAGTTAATCAGCCGTCAATCAGTTTCAGTCTGTCAGTCTGTCAATCAGTTCGTCAGCCAAGCAAACTTTATTTAATTATAATTTTAATTCCCTCCTTCAATCAGCTAAGTACTCAATCGAGTCAATCAATCAATCAGTTTATCAATCAAACAGTCATCACAAAGAATTTTATACAACTAATACAACTATCACTTGATCTGTAAATTATTTAGTCAAGTCAAGTCAATCAATCAATCAATCTGCTGAAAGAGTTACTTAACCCAACTCCCTTTGCTTTTTCAGGTCTCACCACCGTGCTGACCCGTCAGCTCTCCCAGTCGCCCGCTTTCAACGAGAGCCTGCTGAGCACCCAGGAGGTGTACCAGGGCATATTGAAGCGTGGCTCCGTGGAGTTCCTGCTGCACGCGGGTCGCGCAGAGGCGAGCAGCTTTAAGCTGGGCATCTACACCGCAGGCCTGAGCTCGCTTGTCGGCGATGGCGATGCGGATGAGCGTAATGGCCAAATACCCGCGGACGATGAGCTGGAGCAGGAGGAGACGGTCACTGCGGGCATGGAGATAAGTGTGCAGGGCGCACAGCTGCGTCCGCTGATCTTTTTCAACGGGCAAACGGAACTCATGGGTCATGTGTGGGGCGGCAGCGCCTCGGAGACAACGCCGGCCTATCAGGCGACCACGCTGGCGCAGGATCATGAGCAGTATATTATCCTGGCATCGGGTGCGACGCTGCACTGGCGTGTGCTGGGCGCCCGAAGCGTGGATCTGAATGGCAAGGTTACCTTCAGCCTGTGGAATCGCAATGCCCAAACGGAAATACAGCAAAAGTGAGTTTTGAGGAATTGTGAATTTCGATTTGAAATATATTTGTTGATCCATGCTTTGCAGCACGGGCAGCGCTGTGGTCTCCCACCTAGCTGTGGGCTTCACCTACGCCAAGCTGGTGCAGGATGTGACGCTGCGGCACGAGCCCAAGCTCAGCCTGCAGGCGGATCTGGACTTTTATGACAACATGAAGCTCTGCATGCAGCTGCAGAGTCCCGAACAGTTGCTCACGTTAGTCTACACACATTTAAATTATACAATTTCTCTTTTTACATATATATCTCTTATATATCTAGACAATCCAATGAGCGCTCCGTGTATCTGCAGTCGGTGGAGAAACCGTATGCCAAACATTTGCGTTCGACGCGGACGCACAAATCGGCGGGCCGCACTTTTGCTTTGAATCAGAAGAATAACGAGATGTGCAACATTATACATGCGTATTCCTAAGATCAAAATTTGCATTTATCTATACTTTAAATAATTAATTTGGCTATGTAAACCGCACAGAGAATAAGACTCAAAGTAATTGTAAATTGGCAAAGAATTTGTTAAATTTGGTAGTGCAATTGTTCAAAGCTGAATTCAAATGCGCGCCTAGTCAGTGTTGTAAAAGCACGAACTGAACCTAACTGCAGATAGACGATTTTTCAGTAGTCTGTAAATTGTTTTGAAATGCGCGCTTCTTTTGTGCAGTGTTGAACAGTCTTGCGCTGACTCAAATTGTCATTCCGATAGTCCGAAAAATTGAGTTATCGGCTTAGCAACATTTTAACAGCAGATGTCAGCAAGTAATAATGTCACTATAACAAAATTTTCTATTTAACTCTATCAAAATTTTGTATTTAAATTTAAATTTTCCATTGACTTTAATTGTGTTTAATTCACCAAACTTCGACTCCTAAATCGTTACTTGAGCTATGCAATTAACAGCAGCTGTTAACATATTTGTTATCATTCTGTAAAACTGTAAGCAAACAGCTGCGCTCTCGGAGAGTCTGTTAACTTAACAGTTGGCTTACATTTGCGTGTGTCGCGGGAAATATTTATTTGTTAGAAATAATTAAATATTAATTAACGAAAATAGCAACAAACGTTGAGTTGCATGTGTCAAAAAAGTGCTAAGAGGTAAAAACAATTCGCCCGAATATCATTTCGGAGATGGCTGTAAAAATTAGGCCAAATTGTAATTGTGTTACTTTTGCAATGTGCGTACTTACATGTGTGTGTGTTTGTGGAGGCCTGGCCGCACGCATACTTGTAAACGCTGGACCGTCCCTAGGGACCTAGTTGTTGTTGTTGTAGAAAAAAGAAGAGCAAAAATTTTGCTAAATATAAAACCCGCTTGTTTGTGATTATTGTTTATTTTAACTATTGTCAGCTATAAAAAGCGTTAAAAATATTAATTCATGTCTTGTGTGGCAGTTGCTTTGGCGATGATTTATAAAGCGAGGTGCTAACGAAATGCTAACAATAATAAAAATATACCAATCTTTATTCTACAAAAAAAAAAATTATTTCGCCAGGCCAGCAACAACGCACATGAATTGAGCGCGCGAGAGAGAGAGAGGGAGAGCGAGCGAGAGCTGTGTTATGCTGAGAGAGCGAGTCGTAGCTGTTGTTGTTTTTGTCATTTTCGACGTGTTACGTTTTGGTGTGCGTTTGGGTATTTTTGTGCTTGTGTGTGGGAATTTACGTTGCGTGAAGTTGCAATAAAAAAAACCACGTGTAAAGAGCATGCGTTGCATTTGTGCAGCGCGCAAAGCACCGCGAATATTTGGCATTTGTTTGGTATCTAATACGGTAACAAGCACTGCTCAAAAGGAATGTTCAGTGTGGCTGGCCACAATAACCTAATCAGCCGGTAAAAAGTGACATATACATACGTATTAACGAAAAATTAAATCACCCACACACATGTGTGTATAGAGTGCTTCAGGCTGGTAGTGTTTGTGTGTGAGAGATTGAGAGAGGGCTGGCTTTGGAACGGCTGCTCCCCGCAAGCATGCACGCACACTTTGGCAACTTTGGCGCTCTTGCCTCTACTCTCTTGCTATTGCCCGTAACGGTATTAAAAGCGCGCTCACGCCTCAGTGGCCGACTGGCCATAACGTCACATTCAGTTGATTTTTAACGCTCGCAGCGCAAGGTAGTCGCCGCAGTTGCGGTAATTGTTCGATTTGTGTCAAAAAGTTACCAATGTGCATTCTATAGAGCGCCACGAAAAGAATTTAACAAAAAGTAAATAAAGAATCGCAAGCAGCCAAACAAAAGCAAATAAGTTTGTGCGGGCAGCCAATAAAATTCTCTCTTTTAACCCTTTTCCCCTGACGCAGAATTTACCTGTGAAAGTGAAAACGCAAACGAACGAGGCAAGCAAAACAAAACGCGTGTGTGCAAGCAGCAGCAAAAAAAAAAGAATTAACAATCAGTGTGCAAGAGAGAGAGAGAGAGAGAGGGCACAACATAAGAACCCAAAACATAACGAAAACAAATATCGACAACTGCAGCATCGCAGCAGACAAAAAAAAAGAACAAAAAGAACAAAAATAGAAGGAAGAACAAGAACAACAACAAGAGTAACTAAACACAGCCGAACGTGTGGTAAGTGCATCATCTGCTCTCTCGCTTACTCTTACAGCTACTCCTTATGCCAATTTACTTGCTGGCCTTTTCTATGACTCAATTTGCAAGTTGTTCTATTCACCTTTTCTTCTTCTTCTTCTTCTTGTTGTTGTAATTTGATAATCTGCAACGCGAATAAGGTTCCCGATGAATCAGTCGAGCGAATTGTAACCATATATTTTTATGTTTACAGTTGGAAACTTTTCTTCCCCTCAACTTGCACTTATTTTCATCTTGATAGAGGTCCCGCAGTTTTTGACTGTCGAAATTATTCTGATTAGATAGACATTTCCAACCTTGCACAATTTACGAGCTTTTCTTTTTTTTGCTTGTGATCTTTGACGTGGTATTTGGTTTATGATAATATAGGGGCTTTTATTTGTGAAATAAAATAGTCTTAAAAAATGAAAATAAACGGGTTACATAATACGGCGTGAGGACTGAACTTTTTTAGTTTTCATTGAATTTAACGCCTTGTATTCATATTCTTCTTCTTGAAGTATTTATTTCTGCTTCATTTTCATATTCATTGAACAACTAGAACTTTCTGTTCTGATTGGAACGTGGGATATTAGAATCTTATATATTGTATCTTTGTTAGGAAATAGCAGAATTATGTGCCAGAGCAAGCTTTTGCAATTGAGCTCAATTTAATTCAATATCTGAATATATATATTTTAACATATTTTTCTTTTTCCCTATTTTAATTTATGTAGCTACACACCTGTTATCTTTGCCTGCGAAACTACCTGTCTCTAATTAGAGAAAAAAAAAAACATATGATACATGCTTGGTTTTTTTCTTTTATATTTTTATTGCTTTCGTGAGTCAGAATTCAGCGTTATTTATCTATGTGACTTTTATATAGTGCACAATTCACGCTATGATTAATTAACCTCATTTGAGCAGAAGATTGTAAAAACTTGAACTCCACCCAAAGGCTCGACTTCAGCCGAAGCACTTATGAATACGTCTGCTACACCTTTGAAATACAAAAAATTCCATTAATTCTCGTATATTCACCTGCTTCGCATGCCGTTTAATAAACAATGAAAATTGCTCAGTTTAAGCTTACGTGAACTTTGCCTAAAAAATGTAAAGCAAAAGTTAACAAAAAATTGCTGAAAATCAATTTCTATGGCAAACATTTGTTATCTTATCTGCGACGGCGACCCAATTAGGCGTTTCAGCCGGGGGTAGGGGAACATCAAGTATCTTAGCCAAATAAATAGAACAAGCAACTGTTTCTCACATTCTCACAGGCTGCCGAATGGTATGTTGATCTCTCTCTCTTTAGACATTTGACTGGCGAATAGACAAATTGTGTTTTGCGTAGCTGTCACAAATGACCATCGAATCATTCGCTCAACTGCCAAAAAAAATATAAAAATGAAGCACAAAAACAAAAACACAACTCAAATCTTAACTCAAAGCCTGGCCCGTCGCTCACGTGAGTCGTAAAACGACTTTTCAAATTTGTTGTGCCTGCGTCTCGTTAGCAAAAATGCTGCAAAAATATAGCAATTATCGATCCGATCCGATCCGATCCAATCTGCATTCATTCAAGCGCATAAACAACGCTTAAGACTGAGCCAGAGCGTGTGTGTCTGACTATGCGATACTATAACTGAAGCAAATACAGTATGCCCTCGCTGGAAGCAACCCATTTGCCAATTGCGAGGCGACATTGTTAACACGTTGAAATTAGACTTAATCGAATGAATATATATTTATATAGAAATTTGTCAATTGTTTATATTTATTAAGCCCTTAGCCTTTTTATGTATGCTAATTTATATATGGGTAATTCCACCCGCAAACGTGAAAGAATCGTGGAAATCCATTGCATGACATATTGTTGTTGCTCACCAACCGATCGGCTTATGTCGAACATCTTTGCCAAAGTGCAGTTGAGTCGTTTCATACTTTCGCCAAATCCACCAGCCGAGGTGGAAAATGTATGAGCGAAAGTTTCTTATGTGGTTTCTTCAATTTCACACCACAGTACTAAACTGTACGAAAAACGTTGATTCTGACTTTTGGTTCAAGCCATTTTCAAATATCTAGGTAAAATGTAACTTGAGACGTGCTGCTTCCATTCATGCCTCTCACCAAATCGAGGCTACCCTCTTCTTGAAAGGGTATTGCGAAGTGTCGGGCGAGTGGAAACGCCTCCGTGTGGCAGAATCGAATCAATCGATTTCAATAGCTTGTGAATCGCCTATCGCGAATAGCGCTGGCGATTTTTGTTGTACGTGCTCAGGCGACGACAAACTTGCGTCCGATCGATTTGATTTATGCTATGGGAAAGATGATTCACGGCAATTGATGGAAATCCAGCTCTAAAATCACGCAAACGCGACTGCGTCAAGAGTTGATGTGTCTGACTCGTAGTGCTGCCGTCTTATTCGAGTATCTCGTTGATTTTGATTTTGTATTTATTTTGTTTTTTCGACAAAGCTCAGGCGGTTCATTCAACTTTAGTTGTTTGGCTTCAACTATTTGTAGATTTGTGTCGCAACGACCGACTAACCCAATGAAAAACTTACCCCGTCAAGGTGTTCGATGCGTGCGTGAGTGTGTGACAGGTAAATGGCTTTTCCTTCACAAAATCGATTACTTTGATGTTGTTTCTGTTTCTTTTCGTTTCTGTTTCGGCCTGTCCAAAATTGCTGAGCTGTGCGCGTTATTTATAGGTGACAGCCCCGTGCAGCATGCCGCTTGACCTGTCACGGCATTTGCTTGTTGTGCTTGCACCTCGCCGCGAATGCCACCAATTCGATTTACAAGTATATATTTATATACACATTCTCTTCCCATGCTTTGGGTTGCCCATCAACCTAGTTCATTTGGCTATAGCGATTTTGGTATCAGTTTTGGTTTTTATACCCTTCCATGGGGAAACTTAATCACAAAGTGCGTAACCTCTCTCTAAATTATCTTTAAGTAATCTCGAAAACCATTCTAATTAAGTGTGAAACAACTCTTCTATGAATGTTGACAAAGAGTTTTAAGCATGAGCTGTATATTCGCAAGGGTATTTGGACTGCGACCCGCCCGAAATTGAGAGTTCTTTCCTGTTTGGGTTTTTTGTGGGGGGTTACCAAGTGCAAAACATGAAAGTCGTCGGTGCTTTACACCTGCCCATAAACTGGATAATAATTCATTTGCCGTTGTGCAACGATATAAATCTGCGTGTAGATTACATTTAATTGGCAAACATAATTTATTAAATATTTTCATTATTCAACGAATGCGATTCTAGATTGCGTCTCATTCATGTGGTTATCCGTTTTAATCTCTTTTAATTGAAATGTACAGATTTTATATTTTCCCACATTGATTGAGTTTAATTATGTGTATTTAAGCGTATTAAATTGAATTCCCACAATGCTCACACACCGCCAATTTGATTCAATCAGATGGCCTAGAATAATCGCTCACTTGATTAAAGCACGCTTTAAATGATATCAGTTACAAAATGGCGTCAAATTTAATATGCGCTTATCCGTTCGGGTACTTAAATGTAAATGTAAATGTTGTTCGCTTAAATTGCCGCTGATTAAACTCACCTGGAAATACGATTCTAATAATGTGACTTGTGAATATATGTGAATCTAACTCTTCAGACTTATCCGATTTTATCCGTTATAACTTATCCGAAGTGTAAAGATCCACCGTAATTTAGTTACAAAAGTTTTTATATCTCATCCACTTTAATGTACTCATTTTTAGGGTGAATGAATATTGTCAATTCAAGTACATGGTCTTAAAAATATGATTTGCCAAGTTTGTTTAGTTATCTGCATTTATCTGGATAAAGACTAGTCTGATATAATATTCTCTTAATTCTCAGACGTCTTATGGATCATGTGATCGAACTACTTGGCTTTGCAATCGAGCTAAAAACATTATAAAAATCGTGAATATGCAGGCTTTGGGTCTAAAATTAAAAACCCACACGCTCATAAATCCTAATCAAATTTATTAAATCAAGTACAACTCATGATTGTGTGCGCGTGTGTGTTTGTGTGTGGCTTAAATGTGTTAATAACAACGCGACAAAACAACAAAAAATACGCCCACAAATTCCTACAGCGCGAAAGCCGAAAGTAAATATAACAACGACATAAATATATAAATATAGATATATTTATGGAGCACAACATCGTCGACATATGCGCGAGAGATATCAGACAATCAATTGTCTGGCTCTGTCCGGCTCTGATGTGGGTAATTGTGCGGCATTAATTTGTGCAAGTAATTTCATTGAGGGGTCTCCGACAAACCGGCGGCAACTGCAAATAAGCTTTATGCGTCTATATATATAAATATAGATAAATAGATATATATTTAGATATATGTTTATATTAATAGGCACTCGTATCATATTTTGTCTGCCCAGTTAATGAATAAAAGTTAATAACTGCGCGACATATGTACGTTTTGTTGTAAATATTTTTACATTTTCCTTGATTCAATAACCTTGATTTCGGCGTGTTTATATGTGGCTATAAAGGTTATCGGGACGTGTATTCAATAGTCGCGGATAAATTGTTAAGTTTATGATGTTTATTATGATTAGACCAATGCAAAGGCGACCTTGTCAATGCAATATAATATATATTATCTGGATTTAATTAGTTCCCTGCATGTTATTAAGCTCTGGGTTCCAGAAGCGGATAACATGATATTTGATAAGCTCAAATATATCAAAGTAACTATTAAGTTCGGTTAAGTCCATTATCTGTGTTGATATGTGGTTATTTGCCTTTATCCGCATCAACAAGAAAGTGCTATGCTAATTCGGATAACCTGGCAGTATAACTCACTCTCCTCGATTGATGATTTTTCAACCCTCTACCTATCTGTTCTCTAAACTACAATTTAACTATAACAAGCAGAGGATGTGTTGTATTATATTATACCTTTTCTATAGACATATCTGATATTTTTCCTTATTGTTGCCTAAACTATATTTAATAGCCTTATCCGGGCACAGTTAAGCAGAGGATAAATAACTTATCAGCCTATATTATAATTACTTTCTTTATCCGCAGTGAAATGCAGTTTGGTAAGATTGTTTATCCATATGCCTTATTATTCCCTAAACCATAGTAACTTACCTCGCTGATATCATCCAAATTTTCTCGACTTAAACATCTAAAATTCGTTATCTGTTGCTATGCAATGTTGGATAAGTGCTTCAAATCTCAAATGTTAGCCTGTGAACCGCCATTATCAGTTAAGCTGTTTTAATATATATTATATTTTCGGATAAGCTCAAAACTGCCCTATTGTAGTCTGAACTATAATATACAACTTTATCCAGCTAGCCTTAATATAGCCGGATAAACAGTAGCCTACCATTTCTTATCTCTCACTATGCAGTGTTGGACACTTCGTTATTTATTTGAATGATTGC